AAGAGAAGTTATTTTTCAAATTCAGTAGCTCCCTGTTTTGGGACTTCTTTTGGGGTTAGGTGGTTGATTTGTTACGTTTTTGGTCCAGTGCACATACTTCTGAATGTACACAGACCACCCATCTGTCACTTCTCTTCACCCTCCCTGCATTCCTCAGAAGGCAACTCAAACATGGAGATTAAAAGAAACTAACATATTTGCCTACCTGGCCTTTCAGCTGGATCTAGCAAGAAAGCTCCTCATACTTTGTGGTCTGCGCCCGCTTTTGCAAAGCCGAAGAACTGAAACTCCACCCTCCCCAGACAGCGTTTGTTTCCCTGTTATGCCTTAAAGCCTGGGGAGAGCAACAAGGGCCAACCACAGCCCCAAATGCAACTGTTTTCACATGATCACTCCCCTGGAGTTTAATCTAACCTTCCACACCTGACCTCAGGCCCCCTGAAGTGGAAAGCCACTGACCGCAAATGGTAAACTCAGTCTGGTTTTACGGCCACAGCTGCTTTGCTTCATGCTCTCTGTGGAGAGCCAAGAGGAGTGAAAGTCTCATCTTCACACTCCTCAGCTCCCCAGTTTGTACTCAGATCTCCAGCTCAGACCTGGCTGGTGGGGTACACCTCACATTTGCAGCCTTAAACTTAGCAGGATTAACTGCTGCAAAGGCACTCGGCGCCCTGCCACGGCTGTGTTTACATTAGAGAAAATGGACCTCACAGAGACAGTTTGCAAACACCACAAGACGAACTTTTGTAAACTCCCTTGGTTTAGTCATCTTTCCCCATCTGTCAGAGAAGTTAAAGTGAGATTGAAAAAACACAGGAAATTACTGCGTATTCCAAGTAGTCGTGACTGAGCGGCTTGGCTGTTACATGGGATGCCTTGTGGAAGATTCACATCTCCTAACATTTCCAGCAAGATCCTTTGCAGCTCTTCCCCTGCTGCGATCTGGTAGCAGGCTCCATGCACCCTGCCAGGAAAAGCCCCTGGGGTGTTTTGGGCAGCTGTGGAAAAACTCACACCAGTACCGAGGAGCCCAAAAGGTTACTTCCAGATGGGGAGGGCAGCCCTTTCCTTCGAGGTTGCAAAGCAAGGGGCAGGCAATGAAAAAGGTTAGGTCCCTTCGGGCAGCTTCCATGTGAGAGTCGCATTCACTGAATAAAATGCCAGAAGAAATTCTTTGCCCCACAGTGGTTTAAACCTTTCTCTGATGTGACTGGCTGGCTCATTTTGTGATAAAACGCAAGAAACTTATCAGGTTGCTGGCATGAGTAAGCAGCAATTGCATTTGCTACACCTCTGGCTATAGCCTTTATCACAGGAAGGCAATGAAAGGGCATGAGTCAAACGCAGGCTAGAAATCACCTTCACGTCTCTGCTGTGGCCATAGCCCTTGAATCACCAGAGCAAAACCGCAGTGGCAATCTGAGCTACTGGCAGCTGGAAAGGCCATTTATCTGGGTGGGTCACGACTGGCACAGGCCTCCAGAGGAGCCACAAAGCAGCCAAGACACACTGCACCCCGGTCAGTTTGTTTAAATTCCCCTTTAGAGCATGCTACACCCCTGAATGCTCTCCCTTCAGATTCCCCTGTGCTGATCCAAAGGGTGGTGGCACCCAGCATATCAGCTTGGCGGCATGTCATGGTCTGCAGCGAAGGGACAGTCAGTAGATGAGAGGAGTGAAAGGAGGATGGAGGGTGCACAGGAAGATGAAATGTGGGGGGGAAAAAAAAGAAAAAAAGAAGTCTCTTCGGCACAACTTTGCTTTGGAGTGTAACACCTTCAGGACTGAAAGCAACGCTTCATTTCTGCAGCTCAGCCGTGTCTGTTTTCTCTGCGGAGCCAGCTGCTACGCTGGCATTGCAAATCGGTGCCAGATGAGTCTGTTTGAGTGCTGGGGATGCTTAAGTAACCGTGTTAAGCTGTTTCAACAGATTAGCTAATCCAGTAAAAATAGTAAAATTTTAACCAAAAATATTAAGTATATATGAAGCACAATGACACTGTGCCACATGTTTTGAAAAAGCAACATAGTTTTTTTCAAGTCAGTTGAACTACTTATTTACAAGGGAAATGTACTACCCGGTAGAAAATGATCCTGAAGATAAAATGACATTTCTGTTCATAGCGACAGTAACATAGACCTGACAACAGAAACATCTTTTGCTGTTGCTGTTTTCCATGTATTATTGAAGTACCATTATTAGCCTGCTGAAAGGCACGGTATTTTACAGTCTTACACTCCAGGAGCGAAGTATCTTATGATAGAGAGGAAAACGATCTTCCTAGAGAAGCTTTTCTGTCCAGTTCTTCCCGGCAGGTAGGCCAGGATCAAGTTCAGGATGAAAGGCATTAATATAATCTTGGAAAAGCACTATTTCTTGAAATGCATGACACTAGCAAAATGTCCTTAATACAGGAGTGTGCAATGGGGAAAAGGCCTGTCAGGTTTATACATTTCACGTGCCATCAATCAAAGCAAATTTAAACCATGAATTCTATTCAGCCTAGCCCAGGTTGGAAACCCTATCAAGGTCTATAGCATTTCTGGCAATTGGACAAGGGTGTTTCCAGCTCCCTTTTCTAACATGAAGTGCCTCTTCTGAAGCAAACAGAGTAACTCACTGGACTCTTGTCTCCAATAAATCCACTTTCAGTATTTGCCATTATTTTGTGAGGTGGGGTCCAGAGAAAGGCATAAAAGACCACTCAGACCACTTATCCTTAGACCAACCTTCATTACATGGCATTTCATCCCTTACAGACTCTGATTACACTCAGTAAGACTGTCCAGAGCTGCAACAGGTTTATTTCTAGGTGTTCCTGGAACTAAAAAGGCTGTTAAAGAGACAAGAGTAGACAGAGAGTTCTGCTGATCCATCCCTTCAGCTGGTGCAAATTCGACTCAGAAGACCCTCCAATGGGTTATGTGTGAAGGCTTGTTCTTGAACACCAGGGAGCCCCTTAGTGTCAAGAAGCTTTCAGCCCCCTCCAAAAGTGTTAGCTGATGTGAGGTTTGGGCAGCATTTGACCAGGTGTTTTCTTTGGCTGTATGTGCAAGTCCACAGAGAAGTCTGTTGCTTCTCTGTGCACCTTCAGACCGTCCTAAAGACTCCCAAAACCCTGAGAAGGCTGAGCTCCATCCTGGACACAGTCCAGTCCTGGCCTGTGAGGTGCACAGTCAACGGCAGCGTAACCTCGTCAGCGAGAAACAGTTTGACTGAATGGCATTTCCTTGGGTGAGGAAGGGGAACATGGGGAAGAGGACCCAGTAGCACTGGAGATGTAAAATTAAAATGAATTTTGGTCATTTTAATAAATATATATCAAGGAAATTTCACTTTACTACAACAACACATTAGTATACAAGCATCTATTATTTAAGCTTAAAACATCAAGTGTTCATCAAATATTGGAAAAGAGCAGACATTACTAGACTATCTGGGTATAACACAAGAAAAATCAGTTTTATAAAAAAAAATGGTCCTTGTGGACAATTGTCTAAATGACGATCCTACTCATACACTGTATGAATGAGATCTATATTTAATATTATTATTATTAATAAAAAAAAGTTCTGTCTTGGAGAAATCAGGTGGGACTTATACCTTCTTTATTTGTCATTCTTCACAATGATAATCTTTACAAACCTGATCCATTCCAACTCACCTGACTGCAGAAAGGTTACTGATTTATGCCCAACTCTGTGGTCACTTTGGCTGCAGCAGGGGAAGGTTCTCCTTTGACCACCAGGCTTAGTTACAAAAACTCTCCATTTTGCAAACGCGACCATGGGGTGCACACAACCCAAAATAACCACGGCCCGGGTAGACTCAGGCTAAACCCATGAAACCCAGAGACTCCATCTGACTCCCGAGTTGGGGGCGGCTCCACAAAGTGTCTCCCTTGCTGAGGACACCCGTGCCCCATGCTAAGCTGGCTCAGCCCCTGCGCTGAGGTGAATTTCACCCTCTGGACATGAACCCAAGTAGAGAAGACATCGCCCGAGCGCACAACGCTGCAGGAAAAGGCAGGTATTACGAATCAGCCATGGCTTGGACATGGCTATTTCGCCGAGCATATCCTGCCAGTTGTTATGGGGAATGTAGGAACTAATTAACGTGGTGGATCTAAGGCTCACACAATACTCTTGGGCCAACTCCGACTGATGTCTTCTGGGCATTTTAAGCAGCACACTTTTGCAAACGGTCTACCTAGGGATGACTAAATGTTGTCCTTTGCCATTGAAATCTCAGCTCATTTCTCCAAAATGTTCTTATTAAAAATTAAACCCCTTACATTCATTCAGATAAAATCATGGTTTTTGCCACGTTATCGATTAACGTTGTGCTTTTTACTTTCTTTTCTTGTCTTTTGTTAATCAACAGCAAAAGTCATAGAAAACTCCCGCATGCTTTTGCAATCTAAAAGAGAGAAATTATGCGAAACAGAATAAAGTATAAAACATGCCACTGGTTCATGAACTTCATTATACGAAGAAGGAAAAAAAAGAGCCCCAGCAACAGACAGTTGCCATAGAAACACTCAAGCATCGAATGCTTGTTTACAAGAGACATCTCCCTATTGTTTCTTAAATCCCTTCCTAAGGATGGCAAATCAAAAAGCAATTGAGCATCAAAAAGGAAGAACAGAGACGTTTGAATAGGAAGTTGAACTCAGTACTTCAAAGGTTAAAGGTTTCTAATAATATTGATCCACCCTGTGGGCATTTTTTTCTTCTCTGTTTAGGTTAAATCCCTGCTGTATCACTGATTTATACTTAATTTTCACACTGGCAAAAATTAAGACAAAAAGTAAGGCACCAAAAAAAACCTGCCCTGTATAACGGCAAGCCTCATGAGTTATTACAGCCGAGGAGAAAACAGGCAAGTACTTGAGCTGCACGTTATGTTTCCGATTAACATCCCATAAACAGGTTATTTCCTTATGCTGCGTCCTATTTTGTCAGTTGAACAAGACGCTGGATCCAGGAATTCAAGAGTGTCAGTACAAAACGCGAGGATGGTTTATTCCCAGTCCACGAAGGCAGTCCTTTGTCAGAACAAATACCGAGTTACAAGGAGCACATCACCCTTGCCGGTAGCATCGATTTGTTTACCAGACTTCTAATTCCTTGGCAAACATAATGGAGGTTCTTCTTAATTAATGGCAGACTTGTTGGGGGCGGGGATATATAAAACAATATGTTTTCCCCATCTGGCTGATTGGTATTTTCGGCAACGAAATCTACACCATAGCTGTACAGACTACAGTGCTGAGCAGTAACGCAACTGCATTCTTTATGAAGTCTCTGTATTTATAAATAGCCCGCTGATAGAGATCATAGAGACGCTTCACACAATCTGCTCTCCAGTCATTTAAAACTACATGTAATGTTTGTGGCATGATTGTGTCATTTGTAGAAAACTATAAAAAATCCATTCAAAATAAAAATTTGATAGACAAATGCACATGCTGCGCATGCTTCAACGGAGTAAGAAAGACGCCTCATATTTTACTTCCTTTGCTGCAGCACATTTTATTACTTGGTAAAGATTCCTTTTTCCTTAAGGACTTTTTCCAAGATTCATTTATGTTGCTCTTGTCATTACATCCAGTCTCAAAATAGTCATAAAATTTGCCTTTACATTCAAGAGCATGGGTGCCTCTTACAGGTTCACAGTTTAGGGCGATGCTCTCTCGCTCAGGTTCATTACCTCCTTTCTCATCATTAAATTTTGCCTTTTCCTGATTACTGTGAGACCTGGCATTAGCGATAAATATTTCATTAGCAGGTATCTGGTCATCGCTCCTGTAAGAAGGGGCACTGCCGATGTCATAATCCACCTGCTGGGAACAGCTTGGCAATGAAATGAGGGGAGAGGAGGAGGAGGAGGAGGAAGTATTTTCTGTACTAGCATTAACAGAGTAGGGTAGGTTTAAATAGTGACTGCCACACTCTTGGTAGAAGCAGCACGTGTGGAGCTTCTCATACTCCTCCTTTGCCATCCGAAGACGTTTTCGGTACGGACAGTCCTGAGGCACAAACCACTCTTGTGGGGAGGTGCCACTGAAGGAGCAGGTGGAGAAGCACCAGTTGTTCTGCATGATGATTTCTCCGTGGATTCTCTTCATTAGATTGTTGATGAGGACGGATCTCCGCAGGTAGACTTCAGGATCATCAATGAATTTCAGTTTTTCCAAAGACATGTAAAGAATATGAGCTCGCTCCTCAAACACAGAAATTGTCTGAAAATGCAAAAGACAGAAGATATGGAGATGTAGGCAACCAGTTTTGTTCCAGGCAAGAAGAAAATAAAGCAAAGTTGTGCTGCTACTTTTCACAGAATCACAGAATCACAGAATGTTAGGGGTTGGAAGGGACCTCAAAAGATCATCTAGTCCAGCCCCCCTGCCAGAGCAGGATCACCTACAGTAGGTCACACAGGAACGCATCCAGGTGAGTTTTGAATGTCTCCAGAGAAGGAGACCCCACAACCTCCCTGGGCAGCCTGTGCCAGTGCTCTGTCACCCTCACAGTGAAAAAGTTTTTCCTAATGTTTTTGTGGAACCTCCCATGTTCCAGCTTGTACCCATTGCCCCTTGTCCTGTCATTGGACATCTCTGAAAAGAGCCTGGATCCGTCCTCCTGACACTCCCCCTTGACATATTTATAAATATTAATGAGGTCACCCCTCAGCCTCCTCTTCTCCAAGCTAAAGAGACCCAACTCCTTCAGCCTTTCTTCATAAGGGAGATGTTCCACTCCCTTCATCATCTCTGTGGCTCTGCGCTGGACTCTCTCAAGCAGTTCCCTGTCCCTCTTTTCTTCCTCTCTTTCTGAGGCACCTGAAACTGGCTTTTCATTTTGCACACCCACATAGCTTGGGGCCTGCCTTTTCTCAGCCACAGCACTCACTCAGGTTTAGGAGGCAAGCAGCTGAGCACTACACCACAGAGGCAATCGCAGGGCACAAATCCAGGATGGGAGAGCAAAATCCAGATGCACACATCTGGCTCTTTATTTGCATCCGGGGTTGGAACGTAAAATCATTGTGCAGTTTTGCTCCAGTGATGGCTGGGGGCTTTTTGATGTAAATGGACCCAATTCCATCATCCCCTGCGGGGCTTCTACAAAGCTCTGAAGCCAAGTGAAGGTCCCCTCCTGCAGCCTCAAGGTTTGCAAGATGCAGCCAGCAGCCATCACCTCACGCAGCAAGTGTCGGAGCATTTTATCCACTGCCAGTGGAAGAGGCCCTCCAGCAAGGAGGTCTCCATGTGCCAAGCTCCCTTAGACTTGCTCTTGTGTACAAAAGCGCATGCAGTGAGGGAGGCAGGGGAGAAGAAACCCATCTCAAAGCATCACAGCATCTGGAGAGCAGATGTTGGCCTGTGTACTACACCCTCTGCTCTACGGGACCGGTGGGAATGTGGAGAGGCAGGGACAAGGTCAGGAAACGAAGAGAGGATAGGGATTTGCAGAAATCCTGGCTCGACGCCCACAGATTTGTTCTCCCTTCCACGGTCCTTCCAGGACTCCATTTCTCAGCATTGGCAGCACGAGCAGGTTACTGCCCCTGGGAGGCCCCGGATTCTGTGCTGTAATCACTACCCTGGGAATCAAAATAAGAGAGGGGGCAATGCATGCTACTGTAAGCACTATTAACTAATTTTCATTTTTAGTAAGAATTTGGGTTGCGTAGGAGGAGAGCAGCACAGCACAAAGAGAGACTGCTCTAAATCCCCCCCATCTGTGGCTTGATCATTCTTCCCTTTCCCACATGGCTACAGCATTTTTGCAGAGTGGAAGTCGTAGCTATGAGGACTGAAAGAGCTTAAAGCACAGCTGCTTTTCACATCCATTCAGCTCTGCTCAGCCCTCTAGCTCTTTCCACAGCCTGGTCCCGTCTGCAGGGCTCAGAAGCTGCACAGTGCCTCGTAAAAACAAAAATTGGCTGTGTTTTCATGCGAGTTCACAGCTGAAGCTCTCCTTTTTTTAGAGAGTAATTTTCTGTAATAAATTACTCATTTTAATCATATTAAGCCCATACGTTAATTTGCATCCTTTATGCCTGCTGCAACAGTAGTTGGTGAAGCCATAAAAGCCTGGAGCAAACCAGCAAGCCTTGAACTGTGATCCTCCTGGAGATATGTCCTGGAGGGTCACCATTAGGAACAAGTTGTCAAAGGCTTTCTACTACAAATGTTTGCCAACAGCCCTGTGGAGAAGGGGCTCTGGGCCCTACCATCATACCCTCTGCGGGACAAGGAATCTCAGAACGCTACTCCTTCTTCACTAGGCAGCGAAGGTAAGAAATTCAAATAAAACTGGTGGGCACCCTCCCTCCCCCAGAGCTCAGTGTAGCAAAGTACAAAACACATTTGTGGGCAACAGAAGAAACTGGTGACCCAGGGCTTCTTACAGGATACACCTCCACTACAGCGCAAAGCAATGTCTGGGACAGGTCAGTCTTACCAATACCTCTACAACTGGTTTTTATGCTGTCAGAAAGGGACAAGTTACTATTCCTCCTCTTTGTGAGGAAAATAATCGCTGATGTAAAAATCCAGCAATCTAGCCAAGAAAAAACTGGCTGAAACCAGAGAGCGATGTGACATGTGGGAGACATGCTCACTAACCAGAGCACATTTTTCAACACCCTTGGTGCTATTTATTTCTTGCTCTGGCAGCAGACCCGGACACCTTCTGGAATTAACGGCAAGGCAGTTTTTCACCTTCCCGGTCAGGTACTTATTTCCAGCTAAAGTAATTTGTAGCTGAGAATTCCTTCAGCTACTCTAAGGTCCTTGGGAAACGAGCTCTGCGTTGCTGCTCGCTTCTCCTCTGTGGAAATCCCTCTAAGGAAACAGGATCCCACTGGACAGACCTCGCCAGCCAGCGACTGTCAGGGATGAGCATTCAGCTCTCTTCACATCCCAGAAGGCTGCCTCTGCGATGCAGGTAAAGATGATGTATAAACATCCTGATCTGGTTTAGCTTTCTGTCTCTGTGGCTCTTGACATACTATTGCCTCCCATAAGCTGTGCTTTAATCAGATCATAGAGTCACAGACTGGTTTGGGATGGAAGGGACCTTAAAGATCATCTGGTTTCAACCCCTCTGCCATGGGCAGGGACACGTCCCACTAGCCCAGGTTGCTCAAAGCCCCATCCAGCCTGGCCTTGAACACCTCCAGGGAGGGGGCATCCACAACTTCTCTGGGCAGCCTGTTCCAGTACAGATGATATCATGTCCTCTCTATCGCCAGTGGCACACAGGTAGACTTGGACTGCCGTGGGCCAGGTACGATCCAGCAAGGCAAGGATGGTGCCTCAAGGCACAAGCTATCCTTAAATACTTCAATCCAGGCATTCAGCTCCTTACAGGACTGAGCCCTTAATGAATGACAGCATAAAATCTCACATTAAAAAAGTTAGATTTCAATTTATATACTCGCTGGCCTGGGAATTGTTTGCTCTAATCTCTCCCCTGAGAGCTTTCATTAAAAAAGAAATAAATATTCTTTCATTTACTAATCTGTTCTTTTGGAGTTATTAGCTTTTTAATAAATAGGATTAAATCCTGAAGGAGCTTGTACTTGCTTTCCAAGTTATTCTGTTTTTGTAGAGGATCTATAACCCATGTGGGGTACATGGAACCTATTACTATTTTCTCCCCTGGAAAAAGTTTCGAACGACTGGGGAATCATGAGCCTTTTGTATTTATGTTCCTCATTTCCGTTGTTCAAATGTTGTTTCTGCAGGCATGATACAAACTAGCTAAGAACAAAATAATCTGAAAAATAAGTTATTCTCAGCATTTCCATTTACAGTTGTTAGAAATGAAGAAACGCCTTCGCTTCTTAAGCCATTCGATGACAATAAAACAATAAATGTGAACAAGTGACAACTATTTGTTTCTGAGCAAACAGCTGGATCACTCTCCTAATTTCAGCAGCGTTTCAGCGTTCTGGATAATGGGTCAACCGAGCGTTACTTAGCATCTGAAACTCAGAGTAAAAATACCGACTTTTAGAAAACATACTTTATGTGTACAGCTGCTGAGTGGTGGGTGAAAATCCTCTTCTTCCACATATTTCCTTTTAAAGTATGTGATCTTGGATGTTGTTACAGGATTCGAAATTCCCCTGTAATGCGATCCTGCGGGTAATAAATCAGATATGACAAATGACATGCGGTTTGCCGGAGGTTCTCCAAACAAAATACTTCTCGTTTCCCTCCGCGCTACGGGG